TATGCCTGAGGTGAAAGTAGGAGTAGAGGTTGAATGTGAACGCTGGGCGTGGCACACCCGGATGTGGGCGGAGTTTGCGGCGTAAGTAAGATGTACCGAGCAGAAAGCTAAAATCAAGACAAAAATACTGATGGGCCCGATTTTACCGCTGCAGCCCCGTCTCATGCACGCGAATGCGTGCGCAGCCAAACTGGTAAATAAATAAATGTGAAAAGAAATAAAACATTCACAACACTTTCACACTTGAGAGCACTCTTAAGAACAACAACAGGGGGTCGCAAATGGACCCCCTCGAGAGGGGGGAGGGTCGCAAAAATCCGGAAAATGTGCGAACATGACGGTTGACCCTGGTGCGGACTGACACGGATTTCGTAGCGAAGGAAGTTTCCCCAGCAATCTAACATGGCCCCCCGCGACGCTATCGTCTCGGTACGCCCCATTCTCGTTGTGGGAGCCCCTGACCGTTTAGTAGAGAAAGTGTTAGTTTGAAGAGGGCAGCACCGATGAGAGTCGCATCAATGCGGAAATCAACGGGCAAGGAAGGGGTCCCATTTCTCGGGTTTTGCACCGTTTTTCATGGTTTTTCTTCATCTCTCCGCACTGACCACCTCTACCTTGATTTATAATGAGCTGCCATTTCCATTTCGAAATATGTACGCCTGTGATTTAAATTTTGTACAGGAAGGTATGGAACGGCAGACCAGATCCCATCTGCTTCCGACTGATCGTGCATAGATCCAACATACGAAACAACTTGAGGCATCAACAACTTTTATTTAGAGGTAGTTGCGTGGTGGAGGTAATCTAGGTAGAACCTCATCTGGAAGAGGGGAGCAGATTCTATTTTTTGCGGTTTTCTTCACTTTCAACACGTAAGCAACGGTCATGATGGTTGTAGTTCGTACATTAGTGGACGGGAATATTGATAATCATGGGTTAAAAAATATCGACTAACGTAGTACTGAAATCGAAAAGAGCGTAGCATGAACAAATATTCAAGTGGTTGTTCGCTTGTTCACAAATT